ACACCTGAGCAAACGGACACAGAGAGGAACACGGTCAGTACGGACATTTAAACTGTTTACACAAGTTTATAGGTAGTGGATTATATCAGGGACAACTTGTTAATGAATATTATTTTAATCATCTTTCTCACCTCAAGAAAAACGTTCACACAGGACAGCTCCCACATGCCGCTGAATATGTTTTTGTTCATGCTTTTTCTTCTTTTCACAGGACATTTTAAACCATGTTATAAATGATTTGGAGATCTTCATGGGCAAAGTGTCTGCTGCAGCTGGCGCGCCTTCCATACAAGAGGACAAGGGCAAGAAGAAAAAACTGTCAAAGAAGAAAAAATCCAAGAAAACTGGTAATATCCTTTTCCCTGTTTATCTTTCAACGGGCGTATATAACTAAAGATGTAATTAGTGGGGGAAGTGTCCTCCTTTAGGCATACACGCATACTGATAGCACAGCTGTTTGTGTCTGATAAGTATTCTCTTATGCAGCACCAGCTGTCAGTCTGCCGCCTTGGGAGGAATATATCGCCTGTCTTCAGAAAATCAAATATGGATTCAATCTGCTGGTAAGTGCTTCTTTAAACTTTGAATGTCTCCATGGATACCACTTTGACCATAGTGGCTTTGGAAAGAATTTGGTTGTATGATCTAATGTGTTGAAAAACTGTTAATATTGCAGGGCCAGCTGGATGGTTCATTGACCAGCCCTAGTGCTCCTGACTATGTCCACATCTTCTTCAGTAGTTTAGGCATGGTGAGCTCTTCCAACACTTATTTTTGATTCAAGGCACGACTATTATTGGCAGTGATTGCCCCTCCACTATAAAGACGTGTGTGTCCCGCTTCATTGTAGCACTTTCTTAATTGGGACAGTTAATACTTACTTCCTCCATATATTCACAGCTAGTACCTCAGTATCCTGCAGACCTGCCTCCCACTGTGCTCTCCCCACTTCTGACGGAGACTACTGTGCGGCTGCTGAGTCAGGTCGTTGACCCTGAGGAGGACAACCTATGGACGTCTCTGGGAGACTGCTGGAACATCCCCGGGTACGCCGTCCTTTATTAACCTCACACAGGAATACAAGTCTTTATAATGCTTGTTACCTTCTCATACACAGCCCTCTGATTGCAAGTGCACCTATACCTGCCCTGGCACGCCCTAACTTAAGGCACAAAATGTGTGTGCTTGCTGATATGTAAATATAGGTCAAAGTTAATGCTGCATTCATGTCCTATGGAAGAAATAATACACAGGAGTGTTTTAATGTGAAACTGCCGCAAATTTTGATATAATATGGTAAATTCTACTTGAGCCTGGCAATGGACAACAAGGAAAAACTGTGCAGGATAGATTAACTTGGATTGATATTTTAACTCTTTTATATGCTTTGTCTTTTTCTATCGGTTCTGACCACCTAATTTGTGGAAAAAAGTTGAAAGCTGAACCAAAATCAATTTATTTACAACAACTGATTAACATTTAAAACTGCGTTATAGAACTGGACCCACATTTGTTTCCTTATCAATTGCCTCTAGCTGATCTATATAGATTTATTAACCATAAATAAACCGTTAAAGGGATGGTTTGACATTTGATTTTATTTCTTGTGGAGAGTTTGATGAGAAGATTGATGCCACTCTCATGCTTGTCCATTAAATAAGTAGCTAAAGCCAGCAGCCAGTTAGCTTAGCACTAAAAACTGGATACGGGAAGAAACAACTAGCCTGACTGTCAAGCAACCAGCAGAGACTCCAGGAGATCCCCAGGCCCATTCAAGAAAATGGCCATAACCCCACAACGTCATTTGTCAAGATTGCTGGGTTAGTCATTTATAAACTTAGGTTTAGTGAGCTAAAATTATTTTTTGTACAGGCTAGTTGTTTCTAGTTAGCTGGCCCCAGCTTCATATTACAGCCTAGACACAAGTGGTAATGATCTCAACTAACGCTAAGAAGCACAAGTATATTTTCCAAAATGTTGAAAACAGTTGTTTATTCCTGGTTTTATACTCTTCATAAAGGATGTCTTGTTAAAAAGTAAAGTGGTACCAAAACATTTATTGTTCAAAACTCCTAAAATGACATGTCAGGACTCCAGACTTCTGATTGTGCTTTCTTCTTCTTCTTTGTGTACATTTTCCATGCTTGAAAGATCTCAAATTCATCATTCCACAGATGTGTTTGTGTTTGTGTGTGTGTGTGTGTGTGTGTGTGAAATAAGCCATGAAGTCAAGTGAAAAGGTCACTTCAGCATAGGATAGTTCCTTTTTATTTTTTACTTAGCTAACAGTTTTCTGCCCTCCTGTCACCTCATAGGTCTAGATGGCCGGGTGATGATGTCCCACCTTACTTCCCAGAGTTCTACGATGGCTGGCAGCCACCTGCCCGCTCACGCTTGCCTTCCCCACATCCTTTTCAGAACGGTCCAATGAGCAGGAGCAACAGCCAGCGCTTCCCACCTGGCCCGGGGATGCAACAGCAGCACGAAGAGGTAGACCTGACCCAATTCCCCACCTTTATCTCAGGCTTTTGTTTCCATACCCAGTTCTCATGGCAGTCATGTCAGCAGCTTTAGCAATGTTTCAAAATCAGTGTTAGTGATTAGGCCCCGTTGTTGTCAGCCCCTGAATAACGATTATCCATTAGCTGAGTGTTTAATGGAGTATGTTGAGAAATTGGAAGTAGCTTAAATTGCATAATCAACTCCAAAAGCAACATGATACACCAGCCATTATTACAAGCCTTGTGTTCAGTTTCATCATGCAGCATTTTATGCCTTTTTAAATGTGAAGATGAAAACCATATTTTCATCTTGTTGCTGCTGTTTACATTTACTTCAGACGCAAATTTAACAAATGCACTACAGAATATTCTGTGTTGCCTATGTATACATGTATGTAAATAACTGTATCTATTGTTTTTTTTTTTACATTACCATACATTTATATATGTTGAGTTTTGTGTGTGTAGCATGAAGGGACTGCGAACTTTCATTTTGTTATGCAACATAAATAAACTACCTTGACTTTTTCCAGCCTGCAACCAACAGTCAATGGGGTACACCGCCACCAACACGGTAAGTGTTGTGACACTGCAGAAAATATGGCTTTATGATCACATTTGTGGCAAACATGTCTTTTAATCGGTACACACTGGGCTTTATACTGGTCTTATGCACTGCTGTCAAAGTGTGTCTGCTGCTGTTTCAGCCCCACTGAGCCGCCCCTGTACATGCGGGTCATTTACGACTTCATGGCCAGGAACAACCAAGAGCTGAGCGTTATGAAGGGTGATGTGGTTCAGGTGAGATGAAAAACATTGTGCTTACCCAGAAATCCAAGTATTATCCTTGTTTTTGTGTGACACAGCTGTGCATTGACAAATTGCATTTTTTGCTTGGTACAATTTGTGTGCCTGAAAATTCATCTAACATGCAAATTATAGTGTTGTTCTTCAGGAAAATGTTATCCAATGATTCACACTTTAATTAAAACAGTCCAATAATGCCCTGAGTCCAATTTAACAGAGCTGGGCTTTGTTTTTGTCACACACCCTCACTGGCACACTCTTTCAAGTAAAATTGACAACAGATGTAGTCACACTCAGTGGAAACAACTGCATCTTTCCAGCCTTTCTAGCCAACATGTCAGTATATCCACTAGATGTACAAATACAGGCCATGGTACTAACAGTACACAGGTTGTTAATGAAGGTACTTTTTCCCTTATGGTTTATTTTTGTTGTCTAAGCTTTTGTTTTTTCAATAATTTATTGATCCCTTTAAATCTTCACATATTGTATTGAACACTATACTACTCTGAATGAAGGCATTATCCTACTTAAAAGTGGTTTGTATATATTTGACACAATTAAAATAATAGCTTGTCATTCAGGTACTTGAGATTTTGGGTTCTACTCTTTTTTTTTTTTTCACAGGTGGTTCAGAAATCCAAGCAGTGGTGGTTTGTTCGCAATGGCCGCAACGAAAAAGGCAACATTCCTCAGAATGTCCTTGAGCCGATGGAGAGCACCAGACACATGGATGATCCACCAGTGAGTTAGGCGGCACGTAGCTCTGCTAAGTAAATTAACAGGTTTCATATGTGACATTTTATCCCCATTTGCTCTCTCCCTCACAGCGCAACACTCACGGTCCAGTGACGCTGGACATGACCTCCACACCTGCAGAGGTCAAAGCCTGGCTGGTGTACAAAGGTTTCTCCAAAATGTGAGTGAAATAATACACACGGGGGACCAGGAACTATATTATCTTTGTACTGTAAATAAGACTTGTGTTCCATGATGTTTTATGCCTGTTCATGTACAGCACTGTGACCAGCCTCGGGGTTCTGACAGGTAAACTGCTTCTGGGGATGACCAAGGATGAGATAAGGACCGTGTGTCCCGAAGAAGGAGGCAAAGTCTTCTTCCAGCTTCAGGCCATTAAGTCAGCCATTGCAGTAAGTAATGTTATGTGATCAGCAAGTCCACACTCACAACCCAACTGCAGCACATCAGTAATGTTTCATCGTGTTCCCTACAGCTGGCCAGTGAACCGTCAGGCCTGTACAATGGCCGCTACTAACGACCTGCTTCAAAATCTTTTCTCCTGAATTTTCACCCACAGATCCTCTGAGTTTATTGGTGTCCAATTCATTTTTTAATGACATAAATGATCTGGTGTGACAACGGCTTTTAGCATTTCTGTTATTGAAAGGAAAGTGTTAGCAAATGAAACCTATGTTGTAAAATTTATTACCAGCAGCAATAATTTAGTTACTCAAATTCTCAAGTAAATTGTGTATAGTTCTCCAACAGTGATTAAACTTAACTTGTTGATGTTTATTTTTACTCCTACAAGCTACTATTGAGTTTTGCGTCATTTTTAGATACTGTATAAAATACAGCACATTCTGTTCTGCTGCATAAACTTCCATATACTATTCTTTTAATTGATTCTTAGATGTTATGTATTACACAGAAAGTAATGTTGAAACAAAGTCAGTACAAGATTTGCTTTAATCTGTCAAATCTGTTTCAGATGTAACAAAGAAATTGAACTCAAATTAAAGTTTCTGCTTATCTTCATAATATTAGTACAAACTTGGATTTCTTTTACACACTTCTTGTTAAACTAAAAAAGGTTTGTAAATGTTTTGGAGAGTGTTATGCGTAATCAAAGAACATGAAACTTACACAACCAATTAGTTAACAGGTTATAAAAGAAAACATTTCCCTATTCCTGAATTTATGAGTCAATGGGTCAGGAGATCTTGTAAACATTGCCCTTTACTCTTTCTTGTTTCCCCACTTGGCCATCTTGTTGTTGACAGGAGTCTTGATGAATCTGTTTGACTTCATGTAGGCAGCAATCTTCTCCAGAGCCTATGATGATATTAACAAGCATTAAAAGCAGTGAGTTGTATTCCTCTACTGACATGACAAAACATGTCATACACTATTTACCTATATACAAACACAGAAACACAAAAGATGATAGACTGCAGGACTTCCTATTTCCTGAGGATGTGTTGAGCCTTCTCACCTCAAACGGTCTAATAGATCTTTGAGGTTCTTGAAGTCATCCAGGCAGGTAGGTTCAAACATCCTGTGTTGATCCAACAGCTCGTACATAATGAAGTCCACAAAAGTGATCTGTTGTAAAGAAAAAGTTATATTAAATGTCGGGATGCACTGAATGTTTGGTGTTCGCCTAACAAGTCAAAAAACCGAATAAATTTTACCGAACAATTACGTTGACATGTTAGCAGCATGGAAGCATTTTAAAGTGTCAGAGAAGATGCAAAAATCGCTGTTTGAAGACACTGTTCTGCTGAAATGTCTCCTAGCACATTCACTCCATCTATGGCCTGACCCGCTTTGAGTGTTTTCTGTAACTCGTTTGTGAGAAGGCGATTAAGCTAGCCGCACCTACATTTGGAGTGCTCACACATTCAAGCCTTTGTGGTAAATCCACTGAAACGGACCAGAGCTAGCTGACAGGCAGGTTAGCACTTTATCCTGTCATTTTTCTCTTTACAAAGACAAGTGTTGCTGCATGAGAGTCACCTGAAGAGAGGCTGTGAAGTATTCATGTTGCGGGATACGAGAACCACATACAACATTATTTATCAAATTGGGTTGGGATGGTGATACACATGTGACACGTCTGCTTTTCAAAATAAGGCGTCTATACAGGATAGAATAAGATTAATTGGATTATATTCACAGAAAGTATAAAACATATTACATGCGTCCATTAAAGTAAATGGATAGACCCCCCAGTCTGTCCAAATTCTGTTAGAACCACTGAGTAAAAAGCACATTTGACTATTTAATTTATGCAATGGAAAGAAAAAAAGAAATGTGAAAATTTCAGATTTCGGGAAAGTTTTTTTCTCAGTTTCGGCCAATTTTCATTTCAGTGAATCTATAATTAAATGTGTTGAAAGCAAAACAAAGGCTCAAAGTAGACTTTAAAGCTGTACAAATTAGTTTTATATTAGTTAATAATAGTTGCATGTAACGTGAAAGTGGTTGTACACTGACAAACCCACAGATTCATCACCCAACTCAGTTCTCACTCAGCTTTATGATGCGTTTATAAAGCTGAGTGATTTATAACCCCAACCATTTTCAGAACGAATCAACAGCAGGTAGCTGTTGCAGAAAACAATAAATCTACTGTACACTACTTGCCTGGCCTAAGGAGAGCATCTCACAGCACAAGACCCAGTTCAATTTCTCAAACTCCAAATGTTAATATTGCCCTGTGTGTGATGGCTGTGTAAACGGGCAATTGTCTACTAACACGTTAATATATCAACTTAATAAAAGTTGAAATTAGGTCAGAGGTATGTCATTTTCAGGTTGTTCTGACCCCTAGTAGCCAGTAAAAACCTGAGTAATGCAGTTTTAAAAATGACTGTACCTAACATATGAAGCCTCCCATGTTTTAGTGATGACTTACCTTGTCACCAGCAAACCACTTCCTGTCTCCCAAGAAGTCTGAGAACTGCTTCAGTTTTTCTGGCAGCGCCTTAAGGTACCCTGGCTTCATGGTGTCCTGATGTCAGGGTGGTGATGTTGGCATTAGCAGAGATTCAAAGGTGTAAAATGACAAATTCATTGTCATTAAATGTTTAATGTAGTACTCACAAGGTCAGTGTAGCACATCATCACAAAGCCATTTCTGAAGTCCATTGTCTGGTTCTCCATGATGTCCACACGGATCTTCTCATCTTCTGTCTCTCCACCTGAGATCACATCAGATAAGAGAAACACACGAAAAAAGACTGAGATACTACACCTTAAAAGAGACTGTGAAACTTAACCACTGATGTTTACATGAAAACACTGTGGTTCATTTGAAGAGTTTCCAAAACAAAATACGCCCATTTGGGAAATAATGGTGGATATTTTATTTTGAAATTTTCACAATGAAACATAAAAAACAAACAAACATGTCTCATTTGAGCAATATATTCACATGTGTAATAAACACAGAATACTTACACAAACTGTGCTTACGAGCAATGTATCTCATGATAGCATTGCTCTGCACAATCTTCCTGTCTCCATCTTCCAAGTACGGCAGCTATGGTGAGATGTTAAATCACAATATTATTAGTTTAGGTTTTAAACACCTGCTTTACACTTAATATTCACACATTAAACTCTTCCAAAAGGTTAAAGTCACTTACATTAGGAAAGTCCATCCCAAGTTTGGGTTTTTCGTCAAACCAGCAGCTCTTGTCATAGTTAGGAGCTGTGTGAGAGAGATGTGGGTTAGATAATTCAATGGGTATGTTGCATGGAAACACCACTTTGTTTAAAATTATAACAGCTGTTTATCTGTTAGTTGAACAGGTAAGTTACCTTCACCACAGACATAAAACTTGTCCTCATACTTAGTGCCGGTGTACTCCAGCAGCAGTCGGATAGGCTGGGCGAGCTGTCCAAAGAATCAGAGAGGGGTTAATGATATTTCAGCTTTTCTAACACATTGGTGTTCATGAGACACGAGGTTTACACATGGATGTTTGCAGATGACATGCATTTACATTCATGCGGTAAAACGATTACCGGTAGTTGATTATTCGACCAGCAAAATTTTATAAATGACAATTTACCAATAGATTTTTTCCAGGGCTTTTAAAAAAAATCAATTGTACTGTTTATGTGCATTTTGTGACATCACATACATGTAAGTGCTTTATCAAGTAAATATACAGAACATCCATCCATCCATTATCAACCACTTATCCTGTGTACAGGGTTGACATTGTGCGAAAGGTGGGGTACACCCTGGACAGGTCGCCAGTCTATCGCAGGGCAAACAACCAGTCACACTCACATTCACACCTAAGGACAATTTTGGAGACACTAATTAACCTAGGCTGCATGTCTTTGGATAGTGGGAGGAAGCCTGAGACCCCGGAGAGAACCCCCCTGACACGGGGAGAACATGCAAATTCCACACAGAATGCCAGGGCAACTGGGGTTTGAACCCACAGCCTTCTTGCTACGAGGAGACAGTGCCATATTTCAAAATGTGAAGATTTGCTTACTTTAATATAATTCTAACCTTGGGGTTTCATGTCTTGGTCCAATAGCTTGATGTTAACCATTTAGACATGAACTTTCACCATTTAATAGCAGGACAGGTGATTTGATTTCAATCTATTCATAAATGAGCAAGCTATTTCAATGTCGAGTCGTATATTTGAAGACTTGATACTTGCTTGACTAATACAGACTAAAGACTCGACGTTGACTTGGTGTTCATGACTTGAAACTTGACTTAGACTTGAGACAGATGACTTGAAAATGACTTGATTTTTTAAATAGATACTTGCATTCGCTCATTCCAACCTTTGCGCATAATCCTGCAACCATGTGTGCTTCACGTTAACGTTAGCGGTCCAGATCTCCGTAAGACTGTTACATGCAGTACAACACAGACATTCAAGGATTATGTTGTGACGATGACGGTAGGAAGAAAAGAACAGCGATGTGCAAGGTTTGCAGCTCAAAAATCAGTGACACGCCACCACAACATCCAACTTCATCCGTCTCTACAGAAGCCATAAAGAAGGTATGTTACGTGACTGCGGCTTTTTAGCTAACTTAACTTATAGGCTGGTGGAACGCATAGAAAGCTATGTTAGGTCCACACAATCCAATCCAGTAAAACATTTAGTCCAAAACACATTATTCCATCAATAAATCCCCAGGGACTGCTACGGTTTTTACCTATTATTTCATGGGTAAGCCAAGCCAATTGCAACCAATTTTTGCTGATGACTGGTACTTCATGTAGCCAATAAAATTCTGAAAATAATGATATTCAACTTTAAGTTGAAGTTCATGATCTATCAGCAAAAAACACATCGGCATCAATCTATGGCGTGATGCAGCAGCAGCTGCTTGCCGCCAAGGGGCAGTGTTGTTTTGCAAAAAATATGCCGAGACAAAGAAAAACCTGTTCAAAATATTTTTCATTGTATAAAATTTAAAATTGGACTAGGTAAGGCAAAAAAATATATAACTTTAGTGTGTTTAAACTTATAATAAATTCCAGTAGCACTTACAGTGATTTTGACTTTTGGGTTAGACACTTCAGAGTGTTATCTTTCAGAGAAGCCCCAAAACCATGCATTTGCTCCAAATGGTTCAAGAACTGCATTCAATTAACTTTGGATATACCTTGACTGGCCATTTAAAACGAATTTTACAGGAATGGTAAGAACTTACCGTTAGTGACACATGTTTCTGTATTTTTCTACCCCATTACGATAATCAGTGAAGCCAATAGCAGACTAAATAAGAGAAACACCTTTGTGTAGAGACTGTAAGGTTAAGACTTGAGATTGGCTTGTGATTTGGACTTACGTGACTTACTCCCACCTCTGCTTATAACAATGATTTGCTCAGTTGTCTTTTAACTTTTTAAAATGTATTTTCACAAACACTACACTATTTATACGTTAATGGCGGTGTGTTGAGATTTCTATCAGAGTTTGAAATGGGTCCGATTGCACTTTTACAACTACGCCCACAGAGGTAGGTGCGTTGGACAGACTTGCGGTTTCTAAACTGCATCGTCATCTTTGGTAACTTTGAGTTAATATAAGCTCTTCTATATCCATCCCAAAAATTAGGAGTAATCGAGGCTTAGACCCGGAGCTATTGAAGGTAACAGCCGCGAAAACCCACCAATGTTAAATATGAAACTAACTTGTGTGCACAAATGTCTGCACAGTAAAGCATGTCGGTCCCAGTGCATTTCCTTTGCCACTTGCAAGTAGCTAAGTTGCTTCATTTTATGCACATTTGGAGGTCCATTTTTAAAAGATATTTCCCCTCCAACTCTACAGCTCTTTACTTATCCACAGGTAAGTTAGCATTGCTCTTCATAGTGAACAGCTCAAGCCGCTTGAACGCCAGTTTAACGTAACGCTCAACATTACTGCTAATTTAAAACTGGTTAGCCAAGTTATAGCTTAGCAGCTACAGTCATTGCTACCGTCACCGATCTTGATAAAATTTGAGCACGTGCACGCCCTAACGTTAATTTGCAGTTATAGTTTTACCGAGCGAGACGGTCACTCCGTCAACACTTGTTCCTAAAACACTAAGTTATGTAACAAAAATGCAAATTTCCGTAATGCCGCTAAATACAAACTGTGAAGAAGACGGCTGAACCTCACTTACCCCACGAATATCCCAGTAAGCCAGTTTCATTGTCATTTTGAGTCACTTTCAAAAACCAAGTGTCTGTCAGCGACTCCTGCAGCTGCTGTAAAACCACGGACGGTTAGGGAGAGAGAAGGAGAGGTAGGCTGGTTTCTTTCTGCAGCTAGTGAGGGACAGACGGAGGAGGAGGGCGGGGTGAACCGGGCGGGTCACACAGTTGATATTCTGAACCGGTTCTTTTGTTTCGGCAATTATGTAACATTTACGTGATGAATGTGAAACGATAATCTGGTAGGCAGCTCTGCTTCGCATGACCTGACATAAGAATGTGTTATTGTGTATGGAAATCCTCTTTTGTTCGAACAAATACAGAGTCATGTTGAGGCTGCAAGTCTAGACTTATCCATGACACAGAGAAACAACACTGAATGCTACAATTTAACCGTACTACAATCATTTATGCAGGGATTCTTGAATAATCCTTTTATATGGGTAACCTGCACACAAGAGTTGTGGATATTTAAGAGGGTTTTGCGCAATAATTTAAAGATGAAACTTCACTTTGACCTCGGAATTGTAAAACAATACCAACTCAGTCCAGTTACTTCCCATATCACATGGTCTTCGGCTTCATCAGCAGATATAATTCCTTCAACTGTCTACTATTATATCTTCATACACAGCACTTTTTCAAGCGTGACACAGTTGAAAGCTCTGGAAGAGCTGGTAAGTGGACATTGACTTAGGATTGTTCTGTCAAAAAAGGTACCAGTGCAGTACTGAGTACCACAAATAAGGGCTATCAATTAACTCATCAATCAATTTTTGATTGTGTAATGAGTAACATGCAAATATAATGACAAAGTGGGGAGAATTTGCCTACTCAGTCAGAAAACATTGAAAATCGATGTTATTTAAAATGATCCATTACAGAATGCGTGCACATCTTTACATCAAAGAAGCTGTAACCAACATTGTATTTATATTTTCACATGACAAAAAACTCAAACAATTAATTGTCATTATTACTCTGAGCTATTACTTTTCAGCACATCAACTAATTGAAGGTTAGGCTTATCGTTGTAGCACCAGACACACTAAATACCCACACAAATATAGATTGTATATACATATATCATACTATTAAGCTGCTATTAATAAGGTTTACTGCACAGTGTGTGTGAGCTAAGAATTCACTCTTTTCAGCCAGACCTCAATTTTGAAAAGATGGAGGTTTGTATTTGGTCTGAATTTTGTGTTGAGCTTCTTGCTCACTTTGACCCACATTGGAGAGAAATTGTCTGAACATGGACACACCACACAATGCACTCTTTGTTTCACCTCTTTTACTCACTCACCCGCACTTCCCCAGAACCCATACTAATTATCAACTGCTGAAACTCAAACAGAGCTTATTTCTCTAAATAATAAATATCTAAATAAATTATTTTCTCACTCTTTTTGTCTTTATCACTTGTGTCACCTGCAGTTTTCAGATTCAGAAGACATTCATTTGATTTCTGGGATGTATGAACTGTAGCAAGTCAAGCACTCCAACATGAACAACATTTATTTTTCTTACAACACAAATTTCATTAAATATATTAACAAGCACGTATAATTCTCTGGAAGGGACACTTTTGAATAGCAAGAAATAGGTCTACGGATAACATCAGGACCCAAACTGAAGGCAGGAGTTTGAAAAGGTTTTGTCAAGTTAAATGACTCGCAGTTCTCTAAAATGTGTTTAATCACGAATTTGGCACTGGTTGAACTTGTGCAAGGAGTGAAAACTGAAGGAACACATCATGCATGATTCACTGTACTATGACTCGGAAATGTATGCATTTTAAATATGTGTGTAAAAGACAAATGATATCAAATCAGAGTTGCAATTCAGACTGTCAGTAGAAACAATGTCACAAAATAAGAGCTACTATAAAGAGATGCACACCAGAAACAAATATTGACATGCCTTCATGCAACCCTACTGTTTCACTGTAAAAAAACAACATGAATATGACACTGAAGAGCTGTAAATATGTTGTTAATATAGCAAGAAGGCGAAGGACAAGTTTTACAGCATGAGGTTTTGTCCTGTGGATAATTAAGCACATAAAATGTGACCAAACAGACAAATCTGACTAAGATCTTTGCATCACATGTTAAACACATTTTGCTGCAAAAGTTCATGATTTGGTAAGTAGTCAGGGCCGTAGCCAGGAGTTTAGAAATACTAAGGTCATCAGTGGTAGTCTGCCTCACCCACTACTCCCCTCAACACCAAAAAGTACTTGATTTATTCAGTTACGATACGGTTTTAATGAAATGCCTCTGGATTGGTTTGTACCAGCTTTATGTTAATCCAGTATTTAGTGTGTGAAGCAGTTCCTGAATTCTTAAAACTTAAGAAATGTCTGAGCTAACTAGTAAAGACTTTAGTAATGAAACATCTTCCACACCGTCAAATCAAAAATAACAAAACAGGATGTGACTGTTGCATCGCAAGCTGTAATATAACTTCCAAATATAAGTTTAAGGAGGCCCTACAATATTTTAAACTCAACAGCCAATACTTTGTAAATGTAGGTCCTTTTTATACATGCGTATGTGTCAGGGTTCATGATATTAAGGAAGTTTTAAACAAATGTAAAATATACAATAACGCTGACCTAAACGTTATTTGCAGGCTAATGTTAGCTTTGCCAGTTAGCTCAGTTAGTTAGACATGTCATTTAGTCTGTGTACACATTTTGTAACAACTAATCTCTATGTTACCACTAGTATTTACCTGTTTTATGTTGTTATTGTGTAAATCTCCACTTAGTAAACACTTATGTTGTAGCAACAGCTAAAGCAAGACCCCTTTGAAAGCAACTAAACTCTAACTAAAATAACTATCTCAGAACTTTGTCTCTGCTTTCCCAATGAGTACCAGGTTATATGGGTCCCTCCAGGAGACTTGAAAGGACATTTTTGGGAAATTACAATTTATAAAATAAAGTGTTAGTGTTTTATCACCAAAAATGAAGGTCTAAAAGCTGTTTCTAAGCCTTCTCCATGCTGCACATTTGTTCATTTTGTTGGGCTAAAAATTAAACACATTTAAATGCATGGACTTCAAAATACTCTCCATGTGTACGTTTTTAACTGTAGAACATAAACTCCCTCAAGGTCACTAGAACCCTGAAATTGCTAAAAAAGATATTAATAACATGACCTCAGTGTCCTCAATGGTAGCTACAGCCCTGTGTGTAGTAGAAAATTGTTCCAGATTGTCTTCTTACTTTTATCGGTCAGTGTTGGATCCAGTTTATACGTTTTATTAACGGGTTGAATCTTGAATGTTAATAGTACTCAGTGCTTGGTACAGGAAAAATACAGACTTTGAACAGAAACTCTGACAAGATGTAGCCACAAACCATGAACATATAATTTAAAAATAATAGATCAAGAGACATTGTGAAATCGCCATGATAAATTAAACAAAGAATGACTTGATGAAACTAAAGGAAGGAAACACCTTGGGTACACGGATTGTAGATCCACGCTCATATTGCCACAGTAGCAACAAAGCTTATCTATTTCACAGGTGTGATATGTTGATATGCAAATCTGTACAATGTCCTGATATGAAAACAGGGAATGTAGCAAGAATTTATTTTGTATTGTGCCTCATGTTCACTTCTCTCCCTGCACAGCTCCCATACACAGACTCCCCTCCTCCTCGATGGTCTCCAGCTCATCTGTGCGGATGGCCTGTGTGATTAAATTTAACTCCTCACACATGGTCTCATACCGGTACGCCACACGGATGTCAGGAACGTTGGTGCGCCTGATGTCATTACTCTCCTGCCCCTCTTTGATGTAGTTTGGGCCAAGCCAGGACCTCTTTACCTGATCCAGAAGAAGAGTCAAGAGTCAAATCAAACTGTCTGAAGAACAGACAGACAGAGAAGGGAGCGGTATGGTTGTAGACAGTAAAATTGGATAATGTGTACTCTGCTTTAAAGATAACCTTATGAGAGAATCCGCTCATCAGCACACTGTTTCTGGCCAGCTCGCACATGTCACAGGAGCTCAGCTTCCACACCTGAGCAGCAATGCTGTACTCTTCCATCAAGGGCTCCTGCACAGAGCACAAAAGAAATATCACAATTAAACATGCACTGCTTGTTGAAGAAATTTTATTTTATATATTAAATATTTAAAATTTGTCTTGCAACTGAACAGTCTACATATACTACTGTTTTTTAATTATTATTATTAACTTTTTATCGATTAAATTGGTTGATTTGGCAACACATGGAGGTAACAGCAAGTGCATTTTAGTAATACAAGTCCCAGAGTTCTGTGCGCATTCACCAGCTTTAGTCCAGCGCATGCATGCGTAACTTCCTGTGAATTCCTTGTGTGAACACACACATTCAATTCGACGCAGGAAAAGCAGACTATCCAGTTTGCCTTCTTGTTTAAGGACCTATTAAGTGTCTAATTCATTCTTTATTGAAGACAGGTGGGCAGAAGAAGTCAGCCAATTAAGCTGTGTTAATCATGTCGACAAACAGCAATTACAACACAGTTATTCCACATGTTTGTCAGCTTCATGAGCCTAATTAGAGTGGTCAAGATGTAGAGCATTTCTGTTTCAATCAAAACCATTTATGATGAAATACAAGGTCAAACTTTCTCTTACTTCATGCATATGTATTCCTTTCTATTCCAGTACCATTCTTATAGCATTTTGCTTCTACCATATTCCCCATTCAAACAATTTAAGAGGCTTAACTATTAAACTCTAAAATGCAGGCTGTTACAATTGTTTGACTGGCTGTGTACACTGACCTTGGTGAAGTGAAACTGCAGAGGGTCGTCTGTTGACAGAGAGACCATGAGGCCTCTGGACAGGTACTCAGGCAGAGGGTTACGATGGTAGCTGAGGAACAGGCTGTTATTGCTGAGAGGGGACATGGCGATACCTATCTGGGCCAGGTAGTACACATACTGCAGCACAGGAGCCTGGAGGAACATAAGGCATAATGTTGTACTAAACAATCACTGCTCTAGGAGTAAATTAATACTGCGGATTAGCCAAGGACTGGCATTTTTTTTATTAATTGTGTTTTTTATTAATTTAATTGTGATATTGAGGTCACACCTTCCTGAGCAGCAGCCCGTGGGAGATGTTCTCAGACAACATGAAACCAGACACCAGGTGATGGATCGGCCCCGCCTCCCCACAATGAGGACGTAGGACGAGCGTGTGAAACCCTCGCTGCCTGGAACAAAGAAGACACTAGGATATACTAGAATACTAGGAGGATGACTTCAACAGTGTTGTTTAAACAATCGGGCAAAGTATAGTCTGCATAAATGAACATTCATCACTGTTCTCCAGTGACTCAAAGATGAGACAGATGAGGACAGCCATGAACCCATAAGCATAAGAATGTATTTTCTGGTTTGTTACCCTTTGTGCTATAGTAACATGGAGCTAATTTGGAAGCAATACTTCAAAAGTGCATACAAACACGCACAAACTGTTAAGAAGGTTTTTGAATTCTGATTTAATTGAGGTGAAGTGGGACAATTTGCTATCAAATCAGTTCAGGAAGATAAACTGCAATTTTGGTATAAAAAAACGAAAATTGTGTTTTATTTAAAATGTTAGTGTTACTAATATTAATTAGGTCAACAGGCATCGTATTATGTGACAATGAAACCTCTAGGTTGGGGCAAAACTATTTTCTTCTATATTTTCTTTTATCATAATTGTGAAAGCATGAGAGATGCATATTTCTACCCAACCCTTTATACTTCCTATTGATCTTAATTAATATCTAAATTGAAGCTGAGAAATCTATGAGAGTTAAGAAAAGTCTTTTAGTGTACTTGCTGTGGGCACCTAAAACATAAAATCAGTGAGTGATGACATTAACAAAAACATATTATGGCAGCCACTTGGACTAAGGTGTAGTCACGTACTTGCGCAGGTGATTCAGCACAGTCATGTTTGCATACATATAGTAGAGGTAGTAGGAATAGGGCGGGTTGTCCTCCTCAGTCCAGTTGACTGGCAGCGGGCTGTCCAAGTTGAAGATATGTTGCTCTGGTTTTGACTCGTCATCCACGCTGTCAAACCCCACGACCTGTGTGAGGGACCAACACGAGATCCATGAAACCCTCTGAGGTCTGGCTACATTGAATAATATATATTCATGATTCCACAGCAGAGACTTCATACATGCTGAAGGAAGAGGTGCAGCTCCGGGTGGCTGCCGGGATTGACTGTAACCTCGAACAGAGGCGTGAAGATATTCTCCAGCATCTCTTGAAAGTTGCACAGCTGTTTCTTCGTGTGGTAGACGTCACTTTGAGAGAAAAATGCAAATCAGGAAAGTCAGTTGTGCGATTATGGTTGCAAGGATGAAATGTTACCTTTCCTGGTCTTGTTTTACTCATGTACCCTGCAGATATTTTAAAGACGCTTGGCGTGGAATGATGTGGCTGTATAACTCAATAAGTGCTACTCACTGGTGGAAAAGTAGTCTGATCTATTTATTTAGGTGAAAGTAGAAATATCGCTATAAAAACAAGCAAATAAAGTCATGCATTGTACACATGTATAATAAGCAAAAATCTGTATTAAGTATTAATTATCATTATTTCTACGTATATAATTATTAGGAAAAGTGTCTTTACAAAGGTTACAGGCCTGTTTCCTATGCAAGCCTGTTACTTACTGACTAACTGACTAACTGGGTAGCTTATTTTACAACAAATCATCATACAGTGGGTACGGAAAGTATTCAGACCCCTTTAAATTTTTCACTCTTTGTTTCATTGCAGCCATTTTCCAAAAATCAAAAAAGTTCATTTTATTTCTCAGTAATGTACACTCAGCACCCCATCTTGACAGAAAAAAACAGAAATGTAGAAATTTTTGCAAATTTATTAAAAAAGAAAAACTGAAATATCACATGGTCATAAGTATTCAGACCCTTTGCCGTGACACTCATATTTAACTCAGGTGCTGTCTATTTCTTCTGATCATCCTTGAGATGGTTCTACACCTTCATTTGAGTCCAGCTGTGTTTGATTATACTGATTGGACTTGATTAGGAAAGCCACACACCTGTCTATATAAGACCTTACAGCTCACAGTGCATGTCAGAGCAAATGAGAATCATGAGGTCAAAGGAACTGCCTGAAGAGCTCAGAGACAGAATTGTGGCAAGGCACAGATCTGGCCAAGGTTACAAAAAAATTTCTGCTGCACTTAAGGTTCCTAAGAGCACAGTGGCCTCCATAATCCTCAAATGGAAGACGTTTGGGACGACCAGAACCCTTCCTAGAGCTGGCCGTCCGGCCAAACTGAGCTATCGGGGGAGAAGAGCCTTGGTGAGAGAGGTAAAGAAGAACCCAAAGGTCACTGTGGCTGAGCTCCAGAGATGCAGTCGGGAGATGGGAGAAAGTTGTAGTAAGTCAACCATCACTGCAGCAATCCACCAGTCGGGGCTTTTTGGCAGAGTGGCCCGACGGAAGCCTCTCCTCAGTGCAAGACACATGAAAGCCCGCATGGAGTTTGCTAAAAAACACCTGAAGGACTCCAAGATGGTGATAAATAAGATCCTCTGGTCTGATGAGACCAAGATAGAACTTTTTGGCCTTAATTCTAAGCGGTATGTGTGGAGAAAACCAGGCACTGCTCATCACCTGTCCAATACAGTCTCAACAGTGAAGCATGGTGGTGGCAGCATCATGCTGTGGGGGGTTTTGGTTGCAATCGAGGGAAAGATGAATGCGGCCAAGTACAGGGATATCCTGGACGAAAACCTTTTCCAGAGTGCTCTGGACCTCAGACTGGGCCGAAGGTTTACCTTCCAACAAGACAATGACCCTAAGCACACCGCTAAAATAACGAAGGAGTGGCTTCACAACAACTCCGTGGCTGTTCTTGAATGGCCCAGCCAGAGCCCTGACTTAAACCCAATTGAGCATCTCTGGAGAGACCTGAAAATGGCTGTCCACCAACGTTTACCATCCAACCTGACAGAACTGGAGAGGATCTGCAAGGAGGAATGGCAGAGGATACCCAAATCCAGATGTGAAAAACTTGTTGCATCTTTCCCAAAACGACTCATGGCTGTATTAGATCAAAAGGGTGCTTCTACTAAATACTGAGCAAAGGGTCTGAATACTTATGACCATGTGATATTTCAGTTTTTCTTTTTTAATAAATTTGCAAAAATTTCTACATTTCTGTTTTTTTCTGTCAAGATGGGGTGCTGAGTGTACATTACTGAGAAATAAAATGAACTTTTTAGATTTTTGGAAAATGGCTGCAATGAAACAAAGAGTGAAAAATTTAAAGGGGTCTGAATACTTTCCGTACCCACTGTATATTGCATGTGAATCACATGTTTTGTATGTGTGACGGCCTGGGGCCTTAGGACTGCATGGCGTTGGCCTGCTCTCTTCTCTTGTGTGTTTTCAGGTCTTTCTTCCTGTTCGGTCGGACACAACCACCCCGTCAGTGATTGCGGCTACCTGTTTAAGTCTTTAAAAACCATGGTGAACCCAAAATGGCTCTATCTTCCTCCTGATCTCCCTGGAAGGCGGGTGCCTTGTTTTTGAGTATGTTGAGTTTGAGTTTAATTGTAAGTTGAGTTATCTTTAATAAATCCTTTTGTTCATTTAAACTGTTTTCTGTGTGGACCTCCCTCTTTGTTATGCTCTTCAACGAGCTGGGGATAACATATAATTGAAACATGTAAAGTAACAACTGACTATAGTTGTCAAATAAATAGTGTAGTAAATTGTACAATATTTCATAGAGGACTGTATAAAGTGACATAAATTTGAAATATCTAAGTGCTTGATTAAATATACTTTCATATTTCCCACCGCTGGGGTTACTCACAAGAGTCGTGGCACTTGCACAAGCCAGCGCACATTATTGGAGTAGACCCTATGTTTGACAGCCCACTTGGCCAGTTTGTCCCACTCGTCTCTTGAGCGCCCGTAGATCGACAGCCTGAGCTCCACGTTCTGGTACTTGCTCTCCTCCAGGTCAGCCATCACCTCCTGAGAAGCAGTGACACAAACAGTCAGCAGAGGGCATCACCGCCTCACACAGTCATTCTGCAGGTGTCAGCGGCAATGACAGCGTTTCAGCTACTAGTGAGCACCTTAATAATGTGACCAAAGTATTTCCCCTCAATGTAGTTGTCTGTTTTGATGAAGATCTCTCTCAGGATGGACTCGCCAATGGGATTGTATTTGGCATTGAACTTGTCAAACCGGTGGAAAGTGTTACGGTCCTGCAAAAAGAGTGGAAAGACCGTGTCACTGTGATTCAAACAATCTCTTAACTGATGCTGCTGTTTGATTGAATCACTATTTGTCATTTCAACATTGCGGTGCATCTTTTAACCAGGCAGCACTTTTGAACGGATTAGCTTTTTACCTATCCTCTATGGGCGTTACTTACTGCGTGCATGTCCAGGGTGTCCACGCTCAGGTCAAAGGCTGTCAGGTTCATGCTCTCAAACACCTCCATGAGCGTCTGACCCCTGCCTCTTTCCACATGAACGATCTCTTTAGGATACTTCTTCATGGCCCTTTTGATAAAACGCAGAAGGTGCTTCTGGTTCATACAGGAGGACGCGTGAATGTGTGTGTCCACCTGTAAAATGATTCAGACAAACAAAACAAAAAAATTATATATTGAAGTCTGCTTTTGGATTACAAAAAAATAAATGTGATAAGGATTAGTGGAAGCTCTCAAATTCACCTTACGGATATTGTAGAAGTCTCGATGTGGGACTTTCTTCTGTGCTGCCAGCTCTTTCATCTCATTCAGCAGGATATGCATCTGGAACTTGGAGCTAAGATACTGCAGACGACGGTAGCAGAAGGACTTTCTGTGACAAAGTGAAGCAGATGGTTTAAAAAGGAAAGAGACAAGAAGGTCTGGGGTAGTCTTATAATTAAATAAAATCAATAATGCATGATATACACACTGTTTTGTATTCAAAATAAGGAAAACTTACACGGGTCCATTGATAATGAGGGCCATCATGACGTTCATATCAGCGATGTACTCCTGCAGGTCTGGATATGGCAGGTCCAGCTCTGTGCTTCTGTGAGCAACATTAAATCTTAACCAGAAAACTCACCGCAGCCAATACGATGTGTGAACTGAATCTAAAAACCGACAAGCCTCCTACCACACAGAGGACTACAAGATTAAACATGCATGTATTGAGTGATTTGTCATAAATATCTCACTTTTCCATAATGTTCCTTGTCGTGTACACATGCATGACACCATCCACCATCTTGCAGCTGTAACCCATGTCAGGGGGCATGCTAGCGGGGTCCTGGTTGTCATAGGGGTGCGTTTTAGAAACAGGTGGGTGCACTGTGGCATCTGAGAGGAGACAGAATGTGGCACTGTGTCACTGCTTTGAGCGAGGTGGGACTATGGTCTGATATTAACAGCTTGCACGTTGTAACAGCCTGTTCAGGGGTGTGTGACAGATGGATTGTGAAATATGGGGGTGTGCCCGGTTATGTCTTAATGTGAGAGTACCGCACATGACACTGAACATGAGTTATATTTCCATATTAACATTAGATTACAAATTATTTTAGTAAGGTCAGAGAGTAATCTGGAATAGAGCTACAAATAATCACTATTCTTATTATTAGTTATATATATATAGATATATAATAATAAGAAGAATATTAATTATTTATATATATATATATATATATCAATTTGGATAAAGATAAAATAGCAAAAAAAAACTTTAACAGGAATACAGGAAGAAAAGAAATATATATATATATCTGAATTAAGGATAGAGGTTGCTGTACAGATTGTAAAATTCTTTGAGGCAAATTTGTGATTTGTGATTTTGGGCTTCACAAGTTGATTAAATTATTTTTTCTTTTTTATAAAATGTCAAATAATAGTAAAAAAAAATGCACATCAAAAGATTCCAGCCCAAATTTGTTTTGTCAAATACTCAGAAACCCAAAGATATTCAATTTACAATGACAGAAAACCAAGAAGAGCAGAAAATCTCATATTATATAACCAAATTACTTAAATACTTTAGGATGAATAAATTATCATAATTGTTGGAGAGTATGAGGATGTTAGTGTGGGCTGTAGATGTGTATATACCTGCAGTGGCTGTGGTCTCTGGTAACTCTTCCTCACAGATATCAAAGTCCAGAAGAGGCCTCTCACTCAGCTCCTGCAGGTAACGAGCGGTGGTCCTGCAGAAACTCTGCAGCGACAGACCCATGTACTTCTGTCTAATGAACAGAGCCTTCACCACACATTTGGCAGCATCCAACAGATCTGTGAAGGGGACCTGACGGAAGAACAATAAAATGGAAAGGAATGAGAAGCAAAGAAAAAGGAAGGTGTCTTTTTGAGGGTGGATGTGTTATTTAATTGTGAGAAACAACACACAAAACATTCTACTAAGAAATACTTCTACTGTCTTTTCTAATTCTCCGTGCATTACTGCAGTGACTCTGACTTACCCCGCATTTCTCCTCTCCAGAAATACTGACCCGCTGGTACTCTTTCTCTGGAACTAGTTCTCTATCCTGCAAGTCAGGGAAATAGCTCTGCTCCTTCATGTATCTAATGATAGATCAACAAACATAGGCCTTAAATTATTTTCTATTCTGGTAGATAGTGAAACACATTCTATGGATGAAGAGATCACTTTTGCATATAACCAGGGGAAACACTCACTCGAGATCTGTGGCACTGTCAGTTTTCATGAACTCCTGTTTGGCTCGCAGGAGGATGTCGGGTTCAAATCTGAAAACAAAAGGCTGAGCTCACTTGGGGATAATCAGTGTTAGACTCTGGATCATCTGAACAAACCATGTGTTTGTAAATTAACTAATAATCTTCCTTTCTCCGCATTTACTTGACATCCTGGCTGATCTGTCGCTCAAGGCGATGACGTCTCTCCTCCAGCTGTTCAATGGGGCTGTCCTCTGGGAATTCATAGGGGGCGCTGCGCATCTCACTCTCTGCCAGGGTGCGAGAGAACAGCTCCTTCACACAGACACGCATACAAACAACATTTTGAATGTCTACACATCTAGCCACAAGTATGTTTAAAATACAAATAAATCTTAATAAAGTTAATAATGGAGCACAATCACTGAGCACTAACCTCAGCAATCTCCTTGTACTTCCCATCCATGGATGTACGCAGGTCAATGGATTGTTTCAAGGCTACGGGGATCCCAGGCAAGGAATGCTGGGAAGTGAGGAGGTGGCGGGCACCACGGAGATCAACTGGAGATAAAGAAGGGGAGTAGGAGGGAAAGAGATCTTAAAATGAGGGGTAGAAAACTATGCATCTTTGGAAGTAGTGAAGAATTCATATTAATCCAAGCTTTATTTTGAGACTTAAGAAAAGATGAACGGCACATTAAGGCCTCAGTGTCTTCTAATGAGAGTAGTCAGACAAGTAACTACTCATTTCAGTTACTCTAATGACACACACAGCAACTGATTTCAGTTCAGCAGTTCAGAAAGATGATGAATCCGTTCTGCTTGCAACAGCTGTATCCAATTAACTGTCAATGCGCTTATCAACCTTCTAAAAAAGAATAAATATTCTAATTTTACCCAGCATGGAGAGAACTCTTTCTTTATCATTCTTCATTCCTTCAACGTTGAAGTAATTCACAGTGAGCAAAACACTCTGCAGAAGCTAGTTATTCCTCCGTCAGTGGGCCTTTCCACAACAGTGGAGGTCTGAGCTCAGCGGCTGTTTGTGCCTCAAGACACAATGGACCATTCAGGTGGAGAGCCCATCAGCACATACACCGGCTAATACACTCCATTGTTGCCATTGCAAAACTCATGTTTTTATACAAACCCAGTTGTCATGGAAAGGCAAGAAGGGAAAACGAAGGGGGATGGCCACTGAAAAAAACAAACACTTTTGACAAGGACAGCTGTGAGTGGAGTGATGAGGAAAGCAGAGACTTTAGGCATTCCTCTGTGAGGAACAGAAACAGTAATGAGAGACAATGCCTTCACTCCTGTGTCTCAACCACCCCCGGGTGTATATTTAGCAGTCTGCCTGCAATGATATTAATCTTTCCCTTGAAACTACGCACCTGCCACTGAAATATTCATCATCCTACTAAATATTTGATCCTGTGTGTGTATCAGTGGGCCTGTTGTCTGGCAGTATTTATAGACCACAAGAAGGTCACAGAGGGTATACTGTATGATACCTGCAGTCTGTGTTGTCTTTCTACTAAATCTGCATTGCACTGTCTAAATTAAGAGTTAGATTTATTTAACACAGCATGTCTGAGTCTGTCTGCTCTTTGGGGACAGAAAAGGAGACCAGAGAGGCCAATTAACTAGGCCAATTAGGACTCAACAAGATGCATCATTAAAAGATATAAAACCACTTGGTGAGGCAGACAGAACGTTAGGTATAATGGGAAAAAGAGGTGATGGCATAATTATTGGGCAGACCACAACTCACCACGTGTTTGTCACCTTCTGCTTAACACTGTGCAATCAACACATCCCACTCAACGCGCTAAGTATCTCGGACTGAAATTATGTGGTCCTTTTGACCCTTTTGACCCGAGCTTCAACACTCAGTAAGTTAAAATGAATGGTAGAATGATGATGTAGAAATAACAATGCAATTTAACGTGCAAAGAGTTCACCTCTATCTAAACAATCAAAGGAGGACAATTTTAACCAAATGAGAAAACCTGTTGAGGACATTCAGTATCTTATTGAAAATTAAATAACTAAATCGGTGAGTTAGTTTGAAAATAATTTCACTCTCTAAATTGTATATGGTACATTTAAGTACATATTTGGAAAACATTAATAATAATAGTAATTCAAACTTTTTTGGAGAAGGAAAATTCTATGAAGGGTTGCAGAAACTAATTGCTTGTATCATCTAACAGTATGAACATAGATTAAGACAGTGCTTCAGTTGTCATCATAGTGATTACAAGGAATGCAAACTGGCGGCTTTAAAAGTTGTATTTTTCAATATTATTTCAATTTGAATTTAGTACTGAAATGATTGATGTGTTAATTGACCGAAATTAATCAGCAACTATTTTGACAATTGAATATACAACAAATTTTTTTACAGAACATTCCTGGTTGCAGCTACTCATTGTGAGGATTTGCTGCTTTTTTCATTGTAAATCTAATATTTTGGGGATTTGTACTGCCAGCAAGACAGAACAAGACATTTGGAGACTTCTTGTAGGGTGTTAGGAAATACTGTATAATGGATGGGCATTTTACAGACAAATAGTCGCAGTCTATTCAATAGTGAATAGTCTTTAGTTATAGCCCAAGTCCAAATTTAAATGCAAAAGAACAAACGTTGTCAGCAAACATTATGGAAAAACCTCTCCTGGACACATTTGGTAAATCATTTAAGAAATAATACCATCAAAATATTACTAAGTAACTTTCCTCTATCCAAAGCGAGCTTGAATCAAGAAAAATGAGAAACCCATGCTGTGAGGCCAAACTGTCCTCCAGTCTCAGTCACAAAGTCAAGCCACAGATCGATGTCCCTCTGGTGAGCACGTCTGTATAATGTGATGGCCAGCTAACACGTTATCTCTGCCGTCGGTTTGCGGCCTATCAGTTTGTTGTGATAACAGTGGACACTGGTGTGGAAGGCAGGAGACGACCAGCGGCAAGGACATCCATGCTGGGCCACAGTGAAGCTGAGCCTAGTCAAGCCTACCGGGCCTGGAGCTAATCCCCTAATGGCTGCTATATTTGGATCAGTAGCATCTACGGTTACGTAACAACTCATCCCCCCACAGTTGGAGAGCAAACCACTCAGAAATTAATAACAGCCATGTTTCACTTAAACATATACTACATAATCTAGTTGGCTGACATTTTTTTTTATCTAACAGGAGCAGGTGGAAAGCAGCATGAGGGCTTACTGTGACACAACATGAGCAAAACAGAGTATCCACACACTACCAGGTATATAATACAAAAACATGCTGAAACAAAGACAATGCAACACACCATCTTCAACGGCTCATCGTTCCATGTTGCAGCTGAGCCTCAAATCGAGGTTGAATAGTGTCAGCTTGCCGAGCAACTTCAACTGCATGCATATTTCAAAAGCAATATAGTAGAGTACAGAGAGTCGTACATTCAGTCTGACTCAAACCACATGGTGCGGTATAAAAGGTCCTCAGGGATGGAATCACGAGTGGAAAGTCATCAGAAGCCTATAGGCCAGAGGGGAGCAAGAGATCAGGGGTCAAGAGACATCCTTTGGAACTTCATCTGAGGTGCTGCTTTTTTTAACGTGTCCTAACTTCTCAAAGACAGAAAATAATCCCTGCCCTGAATGAAATAAAATGCATACAAATCCAGATGATTATACTTTAATATCAAGAGATTCCCTTTCTTTTACTCTCTCCTCTCTCTTTTTTCCCCATCGGGCAGGCCATGCATCATCAGCCACTTATTACCTGCTTCCATTGACTATGCAGATTTGGTATTCAGCCCACAAGAAATGCCAGTGACTCACAACCTCTCTAGCAAATGTCTCACAGCGAAAGCCAGGCTTACTCACAGCTCATATGTGCAAGTCCTGCTGAGAACGCAGGAAAACCGTGCAAATATAAACAATGCAATACTGGACATTCATTTTGAAGTGTTCAGCAAGATTGTCACGCTGATACACCACCTTAGTTCCAGTACAGATACCAAAATCATAACAGTTGTGTTACATATTATCTAATCACAAGCAGCAGTGCAAGAATGTTGCCTAAATGAAACAGACTACAACTGAATACGATTTAATTTAGGAACTGTATAGAAACAATATCACAACCAGACATTCGAAGCGAGTATCAGTGTTTAAGAGTTTTGATACTTTGTGCTTTGAATACAGTTACGTCTGTACTAAAGCACTGTTGAAGTTAAAATACTAAAAAAACAAGAAAAGTTCAGCTCAACAATTAATTCTGGCCACATATTGGGATTCTCACATCCAAAAGATAAACACAAACGCATGGCAGGCAGAATGCACCGGGGTCTAACGGCTCCTCTGCTCCTCTTGAGGATGCTTACTCCTCCAGCATCATCTCTCACTGGCTCTGCATAAAAGCTGACATTTCTCGAGATGTGTAATCAAACGCTTTCTATGGCCAGAGATGGTTTATAGTCTCTGCAACTGCATGTCTGCAGGCTGATGTTGGTATTCTTGTAGAAACCTCTTTCCTCGCTTGAATCATAAAGAGAAGAAATGCTATAAATATGAATGCAGGATGCTCACAAGTCTTGAAAAGAACCCTTTCGATCAGATCCCACAGTTGCCAGCATAGTCAGCACAATTTATCAACCTGCTCTGCTTCTCACGCACTTTTGTACCATCTCCAAAACACATGAGAAAGCTAGTTTGTGGGACAATCAATCGACAAACATTCTCCTCATCACACTCAAGACAGCACTGCTCAGGGCTACTACACAAAGCCATCAAGGGACAGGAAGAGGAGAGTGGCAGTGAGTGTGAGACAGTGAAAGGAAAAAAGGGGGGAGGGTCAGAGAGGAAGAGGGGAGAATGTTATTTGTGCTTTTGCACAGGATGAGGGTAGTGGAGCGTACCTGTCTCCTCAGAGCCTTTGTTAACCAGCACCTAGCTGGGCTGAGAGAGGAGAGAGAGACAGAGAGAGAGGGAGAGAGAGGCCGTCCTGGCAGATTGATGGAGCATGCCATACAGCAAATGGCCCAGGATGGCGTCTGCTGTCCTTTCAAGGTGGGTTAAATGTGATAGAATATAGAGAGAAACAAGAAAGAAACACTTGAGACACTCAAGTCAAATGACAAAACTGGCTAAAACACACATACGCGCTCACATAAACACATTCACAGAGTCAAAGAGTCATGCCCTCTATTCCATTAATCTGTCCCTGTCATACATACAAAGAGCTGGTCCAGCAGATCCATGAACTGCCCCTCATATCCCAGTGTCTGCCCCCCCCCCTCCCTCTGCTCTGTGTGCGTCCTGGTTCAGGCCAGCTGTCGCTGCACTAGCTACCTCTGGAGCTGATCCTCCTCATTTAAATGCCTCTGACATCTATCTGGGACGTACCACAGGAGGGAGAGGAGGCGGGGGGGGAGACGACATACATCACCGGCGGATATGTATTCTCCGGCTGTGAGTTTCTCTAACAGCACCCCCTGCTTGTCCACTTGATCCTCCGTGCTGTGTTTTGCACCATGTGTTCAGGATGTTTGTGTTGTCTGTGTGCATGTATGACAATAAAATGGTGCGTTCTCAGCGGTAAGGTTTGAGATGTCATGGTTTCTTTTTTTTTGCAGTCTGAGGGAGTTGATTGTCTAAGAAATGAGACCTTGCCTCCATCTCCTCTCACATGAATGGAATTAAAGGGCCAGCACGTTGTTCCCATTATGGTTGCATTCGTCATTTCTGGAACATGCTTTCCCAAGTCAAACACAGGACTGTGTGTATGCTGAAAATTATGAAGTAATATTAACATTTCAGTGAACAATTTCATAACACCGAATGATAAATGCTTTTCGAAATCCTTCTTTATGTCTGCAGAATGCAAGTTTCTCTGCAGTCATATCACTTTTCTTATTATACTTTTGCACTGAATGTAAATTTGCTCTGGATAACAGCAACAGCTGCATGCTTGAATTGAAAAGAATTGTTTTTGATTTTACTGAACTTACTGAATTGCACTTAGCTTCTGATTTGTGCAAGAATACATTCCATTTTTTTTTAAAATTTCCATTAAGCTCTGGAGAAAAAATGTCCAGTCACTGTAGATAGAATGCTGAGACATTTATCAGACTTATTCACCACACAAGGTTGCTGACGTTTAATTAGGTCAAAAAAGATTTGAAAACATCCTCATGACTGGCTTTTCAAGTGTTACAAGCTTTATAGATAACACCATGTTGAATGAATCAGTTGTTTGCTAAGACCTAATTCTAGTGGTGGACAAAGTATACAAATCCTGTACTTGAGTAAAAGTACAGATACCATTGCTTTTAAAAATACTGAAAAGTAAAAAGTACTATTAGTATGGTTATGTGTGGCATTCATTATAAACGGGTTGCCCTTTCAATAATAGTTCAAGTTACTCAGTTATATGTGTGTGTCAGTGGTGTATTCAGATGCTTTACTTAAGTAAAAGTACTAATACCACACAGTAAAAATACTCTGTTACAAGTAAAAGGCTTGCAATGAAAATGCTACTAAAGTAAAAGTATGTAAGTATAATCAGGAAAATGTACTTAACAGTAAAATTACTCATTGCAGAAAAATGTCATGTGACTGTTGTAATTGTTGAGGGGAGGCTCATTTTAACTATTTTGTGTCAGAGTGAAACTAATGATTATTTTCATCATGGATTAATCTGCTGATTATTTTCTCCAGAAATCGATTTTGGACTTTCTGTAAATAATGAGAAATGCATAATTACCCAGAGCCCAGAGTGACACCTTTACAATGCTTGCTTTGTCTAAAAAACATGACAAAGCTCACAAATACAAATAAATTAAAATTATTAAAAGGAAAAGCGGCAAATCTTCAAATTTGTGAGGGTGGAACAATTAAATTCTTTTACATGAAAAATGTGTTAAACGATCAAACTTGTCACCAGTTCATTTTAATGTCAATCTAACAATCGGGTCGGCTGTATGTTGGGTAGTTTAATTTATAACAAAACATAGCCTATTTTATTAAGTCTTCACATGTTTTAAAATGTGTAATTTGTAAGTAACTAGTAACTTAAACTGTCAGATAAATGTAGTGAAGTAAAAAGTACAAAATCTCCCTCTGAGATGTAGTGGAGTAGAAGTAGAAAGTGGCATGAAAAGAAAATACTCAAGTACCTCAAAATTGTACTTAAGTACATTCCTTGAGTAAATGTACTTAATTTCTTAATAATTAATTCCATTGATTAGCAATGAGTAAAAGAGGCCTTTAAGCTCAATCAATATCAGTTTGTATTGAGTGTTTGCACTGCCTTATCTTCTCTTGCTCAATACTGTCTAGAGTTCAACTCAAGTTGTCTTAACTTGGAACTCAACCTTTCCTAACCCTAATACAGAATGTTTTTTAAACATTTGTACTGTTTTCTTGTCACAAATGTATTTTTTCATTTTTAAAAACACTAAGTAAAACAGTTGGGCCCTGTAGTTCCTAGTTAATGTTACTCAAACAGATGTAAATAGAGAATTTGTTGGGGACTATTTTCAGCAGCTGGTGCTCTAGTTAGTATTTACAGCAGGAGGACAGTGAACATGGGATCAAGTCAAAATAAGCTACAGTTTACAAGGACTGTCTTGTATTCCACTAAATTTATGGGGTCATTTTGTTATTGAAATACAAGAGCATCAGCTTATTTTTAATACTGGATGGGGCATTTAGTAAGTGGGGTTCTGGGGCTCCTCCCCCAGAAAATTTTAAGCATTAAAGACTTTATTTCCTGATTTCTGGTGAGAATTTCTGGTCCTATTTTGGTCTTTTCTGCACCAATTTATGCTGGAAATGTTTTATTTATGTAAAGGAAAACACAAAATTCAAGTGGCAGGAAACAATTCAAAATAAGGCTCTCAGGCATTCTGTGTTGCTTTCAGATAGCCTATGTTTTCTCCTTCAGATTAACCTTCATCCCTGCTGAGTCAACACAGATGGTTTAGTCTTCCCTCCTTTTTTCTGTCTTTAGTTTGGGGAAGTAACGCCTTTAAATGTGTATGTGGCACCTTTTTCACGTCAATGATAAATTAATTAATTCTAAGTCAGTAATAAACTCCTCAACGTTAATAGCTCCTCTGTTTCAGCAGTTTTTCTGCTCATGTTCAAAACTTTATGCACATTCAGAATCTCCCCCACATATCTGTGTCCTCTGACATTTCGAGAAAAAAGGCGTAAGCCTAATATTAGGACACTAATGTCATCATTTAATGAGAATTTATTTTACTTTACTATCTGTGCTACACGCTGTGCATTGCGTTAGACACAGGACTGGATGAGAGCAGGAGGTGCTCAGGTGGAAAACGCTTGATGAACACGTGATCAGGTAGACGTCTCACCACAAATCCACACATGTTAACTTAAGCACATCTGATAAAGTGCAGCTCACAGTCTCAAACAGAGCTAGTTTGTGCCTCACTTTTTAATGTTACATTTGTAAAGTTACATTGCAAAACTCTACCTGTTCCGATTGAGCTTGGGCACAAAGCCAGAGGTGGGTCCACTTCATTACTGGCTGGTGTCGCATCTGGTAATGGATGCTGGACGCTGGAGGCTAAGTTACTTTCAGGGTAAGTCCGACAGCGGTATATCCCTTTTGTAAATGTGTAACCACTGCGATAACAAGGCTGTCACGGTGTAGGCCTATACCTCAGAAAAATAAAAGCTTTTATGGGATATTTTGTACGAAAGCCCTAAGCGGCCATCGATTCATATTTTTATTTTTCCCCTGCTAACGAGATAATTATCTCATGATCTAGTGATAACGACTGTTGTTTTCTCGTAATAACGGGATTATTTTCTCCTGATCTCGAGATAACGAACCATAGCTGAATACAGAGGTTGGCAGGTCTTCACAATCTGAAGACCATGGCCCTGTCCCAATATCCACACTGTGCCCTAAGGTCTTCAACAAGTGAACACTTGTTGAAAGTGAACTTGCGAGTAAGTGCGCAAGGGCCCGAAGCTGTGAAGAGCAGAATTTGGACAGTTTTGCACAAATCACCATCTACATCACTTCTGCTGTGATCAGGAGAGCAAACATGGCGCTGGCAACTGACAACTTCCATTTAAATTTGTGTGAAAGAAATGCATTACAAAATCATGCCCAACACATACCCTACTAACCAAATGCTGTCAAAATTTATAGATATTGATCAAAAATGTGAATTCTGCAAAGATGAAGACAAGACAATTCTGCACTTATTTTTTGATTGTCAATACTGATACACATTGGGATTCTGGGAAAATTTTTTAGATAACTTTGTAACTCAAACTAATCATTTAATCAAACTAGAAGCCAAGGATGTAATACTACACAATAAAAACAAAAATTTAAAAATCTGTAAAATGGTGAACTTACTTTTCTTATTAGGTAAGTACCACATCCATAAGATCAAGTTCTCAAGATCCCGACCATCATTCGAATTATTTAGTACAGAATTCAGAATGTATTGTGAGTCTATCCAATTTATAAATGACAATAAATGTGCCTATACAATTACTTTGTTACAGTAACTATCTATAGAAATGTAATGTTATACTGCCTTTAGTAATATGCCAATACTTTCGTTTTGCACCTTTAAATTTTCTCTACATTTATATTTTCATTTGTTATTCCTATAGTTTATATATTTTCCTTAAATTATTTACCAGAATGTTTATGATGTTATTTTTACTTGAATGTAATACCTCATATAGTGGTGGTGGTTTTGTATGTTCAATGATGGAAGATACTCACACATAGGCCTACCTGTTGTGATGCCTAACCTTGTTAACTTGTTGTGAACCAAATAAAGATTTTCATGAAAAAAAATGAAATAAACATGGCGCTGGCCGCAGTTGCGGTGTTCGCGGTACTCCTGCTAAAATTGATCACAACAAACCACCAGTTTCTTACCAGAAGAATTAGGTATATTCTAATCAAAAATCGATTTACACTTAAAAATAAATTTCTTCTTCATTTGTTTATGCTCTTGCCGGATTCCTTCTTCTTCGGAGCTTTCCCGGCAACCAGC